TTTCATGTCCTGTGGCTTTAAGGTGTTGGACCAGGGAAGATGTTGGTTCCTCTTTTTTGACTGAGTTCTTATGTTCTTCAATGCGTGCACTTATTCTTCTGTTGGTTTGTCCGATGTATGTGGTGGGACAAGTGGTGCATGGGATTTCGTATACTCCTTGATTTTCTAATTCAATTTTATCTTTGGGGTTTCTAAGGATGGTGGATATTTTTCTGTTTGTGCAGAATGCTGTTTTGATGTTGTGTTTATGGAGGATCTTACTGATTCTGTCTGTGGTGCCTTTTATGTATGGGAGGAGGGCTTTGCCGTTTTCTTGTTCTTTGTCTTGGATTTTAGTGGGGGTTTCTTTTTGGATTAGGTTTGTAATCTTATTTCTATGGAATCCATTGGATGTTAGTACATTGGTGAGAGTGTGTAGTTCGGGTTTTTAGGTGTTGTTCGTCAGCTAAGCGTTTTGTTCTGGAGATGAGTGTCTTGGCTACAGAGTTGATCTGTGCTGGGTGGTGGTGTGAGAGAGCGTGCAGATAGCGGTTTGTGTGTGTTTTCTTCTGGTAGATGGTGTGTCCTAGGGAGCCATTGGATTTCTTGTAGACTAAGACATCCAGGAAGGGAAGTTGGTTGTTAGCTTCTGTTTCCATGGTGAACTGTATTTTGGGGTGTAGGCTGTTGAGGTGTGTGAGGAAGTTGTCCAGTTTTTCTTTCCCATGTGGCCAGATTATGAAGGTGTCGTCTACGTATCTGAGCCAGAGTTTGGGTTTGTGATCCGATTTTTCTAGAGCTTGGGTTTCAAAGTGTTCCATGTAGAGGTTGGCAATGACAGGTGAGAGGGGTGATCCCATGGGTGCTCCTTCTGTTTGTTTGTATTTTTGTCCATTATAGATGAAGTATGTGTTGGATAGGCAGTGGTTGGTCAGATCTAAGATGTGTTTGGGGGGGTTATATTTGTTTTGGATAGCTGTCAAGGCTTCTTTGATAGGCACTTGGGTGAAGAGGGATATGACATCAAAGCTCACAAGTAGGTCGCTGGGCTGTAAGTTTTGTTTCTTTATGATCTCTATAAAGTGGAATGAGTTTTTTACGTGTGAGGTGATGGATTCTAACCTGAGCACAACCAAACATAACACTCCCCCAGCCAATCAGAGCACAACCAACCCCCCAGCCAATCAGAGCACAGCCAACCCCCCAGCCAATCAGAGCACAGCCACGCCCCTAACCAATCAGAACACACCTCCACCCAATCAGAACACAGCCAAGCTCCCACCCAATCAGTTCATACCCCCACTGGCAGTTAAAAGGAAGAAACAGCTAAGACCACACATTGCTGCTCGAAGCACGAAGCTGAAAACACCAGCCTGAAGATGACGAATGGGACTTCGTCGAAACGTCGCCAAGACACTTCCAATTTTACGCGGGAGAAAACCCGAACAACCAAAGACCTACATATATATATATATATATATATATATATATATATATATATATATATATATATATATATTCATGAAAAATATTGTATTTTTGTTAATTACCTAGTGGTTTAATATCGTTATTTTTCATGATTCAGTAAATTGTTATGAAAGCATCACTTTTAATTTTAATACAATAAACATAACCTATACAAACAAAAGCTTTTCTGGAGTCCATAATTTTTAAAAACGGAAAAGGGTCCGGAGAGCAAAACATTTAAGAAACAATTGCTCTAAAGAGAAAAGGGGTGTTAAATTGCAGCTTTACAAGCTAGAAAACTGTGAGTTCTAATCCTTTATCTGGGCCAGTCACTTTCTCAGCCCTAGGAAGAATGTGCAAGAATTTCTTCTGAAAATGTCAAAAAAATTGCATTGACTAATCTCTATAATCCCCAGGAGATAGTGTTGACTGATCAACATAAGAACCAGACATAGCTTAGTTTCATTAACTAGTTCATAAATCACAACGATGTACATAGCCAAAAACACTCAATCTGCTGTCAGCTATGTTTTAATAATATCTACAAATGATAGCTAATGTTATCTGTGTTTGATGGTTAATTAATCACAAGTACACAATAATTTCATTACACCATTGCAAAATGCAAAAAGCATCTGAAAAGCTTTAAGTTATGATATATATTGGAATATGACATTACGCAGAGGAAGAAGAATGTGGAAGTGATGATATTTGAACTGTATTTCTCATCCCATAAGAGCTTGGAGTTTCTACAATCACAATAACAAGTCTCATCAACAATATATTTTATTCATGAATATTCATAAATATTTATTTACTTGTTTCAATGACATCAGTACTACTAGCCCACCAATCCTTCCCCCCTCAAAATTTATCTATATTCAGCTCAAGTTGAAAAAATAAAATAGGAGAGGGGGGAAAGAGTATTAAATCTAAACAAAGCAATAATACCGGTATATTTTATGATGTAGTCTAACACCAAAGAATCTACATGACTAATTGTTCCAAATTTTACACTTGTCTCCCGGAAGCTTACTAAAATCACTAAGCACTGATCTTACACAGATAGACAAAGATGCATCCATAACTACCCACCTGCTGAATTCTGTACCAACTGAAGCTTCCAGATGCTTTTCAAGGGCAGCTTCATGTAGAATACAATGCAGCAATCCAAGTGATGGGTTACCAACGATTGACAGCAAACAGAAATTCTCAATTCAATAATGGGGGCAATTGGCATTGCGCAAAGGCCCTTGCCACCCACACCTACCATCTGCTACTTAAGCAGGTTAGGTACATCCCACAAAATAAGTATTTTATTTATACTAATATATATAAATATATTATATTTATATTATTTATCATAACATAAATTACAAATTAATAATTATTACTTTGATGTCATTTTAAAAATAACATGCCTAATTTGATTTGCTTTTTTGATTTTTTAAACAATATTTCGTCTTTTTAAATTAGCCAGTTGAAAGGCATGCTCAGTCTTATATTTTATTATACAAAACGTTTTTAAAAATGAGTCGTTCTTTTGCCCCAAGTAGGACATTTATGCTCTTCATGTCTCCATGAGAGTAAAATCTGATTGATACTTGTCTAGAGCATCTGTTCCTGTATATTTGACCATAAAGAAAAGTAACTGTTTAAGTCAATTCAATGACAGTGCAGCAATATTTTGATGTTGATTAGGAACATTTTTCTGAGAAATTCAATTGAGAATCCATCTTCATTAACCAACACAATGCAAATACAATGGGGGGGGCTGTCTAAAGATGAAACTAAAAGTATTTAAAACACACGGCGAAAGTAAATATAAATTCAAAAACAAAGCAGTAGAAGAAATCCAAAGGAATTCCCTTTGGAAAAATATCGGGACTTTTGACAAAGGCCACCGTCCCGTTAAAGTCTCCTCGTTAAGTGCCCCAAACGAGCCGAGCTGCACTTGCTTGACTTCACAATTGAACGCCCGTCTCCTCTATTTCCTGGGGACATTATTGCGCTTTCAACCCCGACCCGACGCAGCCGCCTCTGATCGGGATTTCGAGCGGAGATTGAGCCTTGCTCGGCTTCCCCTCCGCTCGCAGCTCGCCAAACCGCGCGGAAACTCGGGCCACTCGACCGCCTCCTCCGCCGGCAAACTCCCGTAGCCTTCCAGCCCAGTTTCACCCGAACAGCCGCTGCGTTTCCCTCAGGACGGTCTCCGCCTCTCCGAAACAACCACCTGTGGCCCTCCGGGGTTTGTAAGCGGCGCCTTTCCCGGAGCATCCGTCGCGCACTTCGGGGGAGCGAGGCGAGCGCAGCTCCCGGAGACTCCCTGCGGTTCCCCTTCCGGCTCCGTCCGCTTTCCGCCCTTCCCAGCTCCCGGGGCGCCTATGGCAGCCGCCGCTTCCCGCCCCTTCTTGCACTCACCCAAAACACCGTGGAGTAAGTGACGAGCGTGAATTTGAGGCACAGGTAGGAGAAGCGCGCGCAGTAGCGAACCTGCTCCGAGTCTCCCTGCGCCGCCATCGCCCCCGCCGCCCCCTGCTCACCACCTGCCGCTCTCCGTGCCAGCGAGCCAGCCCAGAGGCAGCGTCGCTGGCGGCGTAGGTGGCAGCGGCGGCGGCTCCTGGAAGCAGTTCGCCTGCGCCAGCCGGCCTGCGTGGCTGAGCGCGGCAGAGCAGCTGCCGAGAGGCGAGATGGACGCACCCTGCTAAGGTTGGAAGGCTGAAATGGTATAGGGTTTCCTGCCTGAGCAGGGGGTTGGACTAGATCAGTGGTTCTTAACCTGGGTGATATTGCCCCCCGGGGGCGATTTCGTTTTTCGGGGGCGATGGAGCGAAAAGGGGTGACGCGGGGCGATGGAGCAATATAGGGGCGATGGAGTGAGAAGTTTTGGGGACACTTTTGAGACTTTTTCTGTACAGTGAATTTCTGTATAGCTGTCAAACCAAAATATCAGATCACTCGCTATTAGTGGACTGAATTGTTTTCAAATGTTCCTCCAGCTAGCTTCAATACAGAATGCCGTACATATGTGAATACGCATTGCTTATCTTCATGCGCATTGCGCAGCAGCCTCTACCCATACAGTGGCACGCCATTGGCCAGAATGGGCAGTGATGGAGGGGGAAGCGTGTCTTTTGAAACATCGCATGCTGAGTGGCTGTCCCCTGTGATATCAGCTGCAATGTCAACGTAACTGTTGAAACTAGGTTTATCAACGTCCACATGTGTTTTTCTAGTGTTCCAGTGGAGTCGAAAATTTAATTTGCAGGTAGTGCCTTTCATTTTGACGACCTCTCAACATGGCCGAGAAGAGGAAGTGTCGCCAATATTCGACGGAATACCTAAAATTGGGATTCATTCCATCTCCTTCCAATGTACAGCTTCCGTTTTGTCTTCTTTGTGAGAAAACATTTTCAAATGAAGCGATGAAGCCTTCCCGACTGAAAGACCATTTGGTAAGAATTCATTGGATAAAGCCGACAAACCGGCATCGTTTTTCCAATCCTTAAAGGCCAAGTTTGAGGGTCGCAGCACTGTTGGGAAGTTATTTGGAAAATCGTCACTCAACGCCGACAAGGGGCTCATTTGTTCCTATGAAGTAGCTTTGTTTATAGCAAAACCTACTCCTTAAAAATAGGCTGGGAATCCAAGACAAAGCCCAGATTGCACACTGAGTCTAATTCAGGGTTAACAATGGACAATTACTAGTTATGGTGGCTGTAAACCCACAGCCATTCAGTCATATGGTTCAGATCAATTTGTCCTCCCAAACTCGCATAGCCACAAGGCACTGTGGAAGTATCTCAGCAGCACCACTTGGCTGGCCTGGGGCCAAGAAGTATAACTGAGTAACATTTTTTAAAATGTTTTCCTTGTTTTAAATGTTTTATAGTTTTAGAATTGTAAGCCACACAGATTCACTTGACTGAAGTGAGTAGCTATAGAAATTGAAGAAATAAATAAATCAGCATCTTGATGATAATTAACTCTATGCCCACAGATGTGCTCACCTAAAAATTTCATGTAGATGTTAAATAGGAGCAGGGAAAGAGTTGAGCCCTAGAGCACCCACAAAGCAGGGACCTAGGATTAGATCTCTCCCCCTGTATCAATACCGACTGGAACAGGCCCCAGAAGAAAGACCAGAAGAACAGTGCTTCCCACTCCCAACCTTCTCAGCTAGTTCAGAAGGACACCATGATGGATAGTACTGAAAGCCAGAGAGAAGTATCAGCCCCATCCTGAGCCCACTAGAGATCATCAGCATGTGAAGTCAATGCTACCTTGGTGCTAAACTCAACCTGTACCCTCTCTGCCACAAAACCAGATAATCTTCCTCTTTTAGAGTTACAAGCTAAAAAAATAAGTTTGGAGAGTGGACGAAAATTGTCTCATACGGATGGGTCCAGTGATGACCTCTGAGAAGAGGGCAAACCACCATCTCCTTTAAGGCAGGCAGAGCCATCACCTCCTACAAAGAGACCTCATCATCACTTGAACCCAACCAAAACAAGCCAGAAAGGTTTCTAATTTTGCACAAGTGGCAGAATTCAACCTCCCAAGGATCCTATCCACTTTCTCAGAACAAAGCAGATCAAACTCTGCCCAGGTAACTGGGCAAGACTGGATCCCACTCAACTTGAGAGGACCAGCACAGTTGAAGTCCATCTCCAAGCAAATCTCAGCAACTATTTATTCATCAGTGCAGCTTGCTGCATAATCTTCATAACGATGTTGCAAAGGATCCCCTGACCCCTCCTTCCCCAGAAGGGACCAAGATATCCAAAACAGAGCTGCCAGGCAAGTATTTGCAGATGCAATAAGGTGGAGAAATATACACATGTTGCTGCATTAATTAATTAAGATAATCCTTAATACAAGCTCTTACCTCCACTTAACCTATGAATGTGTTTTAAGATCTGGGTGTTGCTGTGGTGGTTGTTTTATTATATTCGGCAGCAATATGGAGCTCTCAGTTTGTGCCTGTTTCTTTTGAAAATTATGGCAAGGAACTTTTTAGGAGCAGATAGGATGAAAAGTTTTCACAATATTAAGGATTTATCGCAGTGTGGCATTATATACACCAGCACTGTGGAATGTATTGCGGGTGCCTAGAGATCCTGCACTTAGAATCTTTTTCTCATAATGAAATTTTCTATAGGACATAATCATCATCATTATTATTCATCTTTGAACTCGAGAGAAAAAAGTGAAATGTTATGATGACATTTAGCTAGCATGATTGATACTAACCTAACTAAAAGAGAGAAATGTATCACTTCAGGCCTTACACAAAAAAGCTATTTTCTTGAGGGAGAATAGCTCATTGATGTGGCCAACAACTGCAGAATTTGTTCTTGCCCCATTGCCAACAAGCAAGCTAATGAATGAAGGAATTGAGAATAAATAACCAGTATTACAGAAGCTGTGAAATGTGTCAGTGTCTAATATTAACATATTTGAATAGCTTTCAGGTTTTATACATGGTCCATCTCACTTTGTCACTTAGCTTTTAACAAAACCCTTGTGTTTACTAACACAATTCTTTTAATTTTAGTCACAGGTCATCTCTATATCTTCAAATTATTATATTTCTTGATAAATTGTGCTAAAGATTTATAAATAATTCCATTCTGCAAAAATACAAAAGCTTGCTTGAAATTCTGCTGGGCTTCCTACACATGACCTTTAAATATATTTTCTTCTTGGGGCAGAACAGAATCTTGCTGGTAATTCCAAGGAAGACCTCCCCTTAGTGTGTGTACATCTGCCAGTAAAAACTAACAGTTAAGTTTTGAAACTTTCCATCTAAGTATGTACAGTAATTACCATTGGACAGACTATACAGCTGTTTAAAATAATTACAGATCATTAAGAGTCCATTAAATTCAGAAAGTAAGATATAAATATAAATTCATTTTATTTGGGATTTAATGAAGTACTTTCCCAGGTCACACAGAGAATATCCAGTTATTTCCATTCTTTCATGCAGTTGTGCAAGATTTGAATCTGTGAGAAAAATCTCAAAAGTTGCTAAAAATATTTTTATCAGAAATTTTAAAGATTAAAATTTAAGTAAGTGCATTCTCAAATTTGTTTATGGACTGGTTTACATGAATTGACTCTAAAATCATGTTCAAATGAGCTTGAAATCTGGCCAAGGTTTCAAGGAAATTGAAATTGAAGCTGGGAAACCTCAGGATATAGGGTGTATTTTTAGCTTGTTTCCTCAGACAGTAATTTACAAGACAAAAGGTTATATCATTTTTACAATATATACAAGACTTTTATTCTTTGTAAGTAATTGGAGTTATGCTCCTCACTAGACTGAATTCAGACCTTGTCAAATTTATTCCCAGTTAAATTGATGGAACAATTCCATTCATTCATATGAATCAACCCCAGCCTGTAACACTAAGCATTTGGGATAATAGCAGCATAAGGGGAAAACTTAAATGCAACATGATAGATACCAAGCTATATCCAAAGGCAACTTCCTCCTTTAACCTTGGCAGAAGTTTAGTTTATTTGTTTTTGTTTGTTTTAGTTATATTAATCTGCTAGTATAATGGGAGTGGTCTTTCTATGTTGAAAGCTTTTGTCAGAACCCATATCTATCATATTTCATACTTCCTTGTCTCTCCTTCTCTCGCTTCCCGATTCCATTCTCTTCTCTCCCTGGGTTCTGCCATATTCCTAGAGGGGAGGGAGGACAGAGCGTGGATTTCTTGCCTTAGTTTCCTTTTTTGCTACCTGTAAAGGAATCCCTCAGATCCTGTCTAGTATGCCTGCCATCAGCTTCTCCTAATAAAAGTTTCTTTTGGAAGAACTTGCTTCTCTGAGTTCTGCTTTCTTGGCATGAAGTGTTGAGGTGGGTCCTGACAACTTTCTTTACAATCACTATGCAATACAAACTTTGGTTATGCTTACAGAACATGGATATTGAATTAACCAGTTTTTCTGGATTTGCAGAATACATTAGACCATAAAACAACTCAATAATCTTACAGAATACTAAACCACAAAAATCTAACCAGGTTTTAAACCAACCACACTTAAGTGTGAATGTAATTATTAACTGACCTGGTCAAGTATGAACTTTAATACAATATACAAGATTATTTGAGAGAAGCATATAGTGCTCATAAACTACCTTTTCACAAATTCCCACATAAGGGGATAATATTATTCATATATATTATGGAGAGAGGCTACATGTTTTTCCTTAGCTGTTTGTTAGTTTTGGAATACCACTCTAAAGAGCCCTTTGAGTATGGGGTACAGAGATGGCAGAAAATATATTCTAGGATAACATATTGTGCAGGACATCCTGGTTATAATATGCGTTATCTGGGTTTGCCTAGAAATGTTTTGGGAGGCTCACTGAGCAGTCAGTAGGCAGATATTTTGAAATATAAAATGGGTTTTCCTTTGACTTCTAAATCATTTTCCTGTCTTCTGTATCTTGGCTTTGGGCTGTTCTCAAGTCCTTCTGGCAATATTTATGGTGTTCTACAGGCCATGTTCTGCTTATTGAAACTCCCACTGAAGTCAAAAAGTCAAATGGAATAAAAGGAATAAAAGTCTTGGACCTTGTAGGGTAAAACCTATGAGGCTTCTCCCTTTAACTGGCGGGTAGAGTCAACATAGATTAATGCAACAATTTTGGAGAGTGAGGAAGAACCAGCCTTCTGAAATCTGATTTGATGCATATCTTTGTATACTCTTGTCTCTCCACCTCCTTTTGAAATGTCAGTGTAGATTCCCCCCCCCCCCATTTGGCTGCTTCCATAATGGTCTGAATTGCAAAGGAAGAACAAACTAAAGGCTATCAACTCCATGGTGCATTATCAGAATTTTCTTTAATCTCTCTCTTCTCTCTCCTTTTTTTTTCTCTCCTCTCTTTGTCTCTTTCACATACATACATACATATACACAAACATTTTTAAGAAAAAATTTTTTGTCACAAATTGTGGTGATATGAATGAAAAAGACCAGCAATCTCATCTCATTTATTTGCATCACTGAAGATCAGCATGCGATGAATCAAATGCCGCTACATTCAATCTACAAAATTATGATGAACTCATTATTCTATTGATTAGACTGGGATCCCCAAATTGAGTTAATTGCAGCCAATTTCTTGGTTTTGATTTGGTTTGGAGGGTTGTTTTTTTTTTTGAGCAGAAGAAAGACATGACAATGGTTTCCTTCTCAAATGTAAAGAATGCTTCCAAGAATCAGATTTTTGAAAACGATGTTAATTTGACTGAGATGACTACATTTTACCAGCCTGGATGGCAAATTGTGCTTTGGGCCATTGCCTACTTATTGATAATCACAGCATCGATTGTGGGGAATGCCACCATCATTTGGATTATCCTGTCCCATCGACGAATGAGAACAGTCACCAACTATTTTATTGTGAACTTGGCTCTTTCCGATCTGCTTATGAGTGCTCTAAACGCAGTTTTTAATTTTATTTATGCCTGGCATAATATCTGGTATTTCGGCGAGGGATTCTGCCGCTTTCATAATTTTGTTCCCATTCCTGCAATGTTTGTCAGCATTTATTCTATGACTGCTATCTCTGCAGAGAAGTAAGAAAAGCAATGGTGAAAAGTTTACCATTGAAATTTTAAAAAATACTGTAAATTTGCTGGTGGATGTTCAGTTATAATGGTATGTTCGATATGTAACTGTAGAAAATAGTTGCTCTTAAATATGAATAACTACATGAATATGGAAGAATATGAAAACTAATATGAACTTGTAAAGCATGCATATTCAGACGTTTTGCATGGGGATAGTGTAGTAAAGGGTTAATATTGGTATTTATTCTAGAAAAACCCTTGGAGATGATTCCTAAACTATTGGGAAAGATAGAACAATATGGAGAAATGGTAGGACTGATAATAAACAGAGAAAAAACCAAAGTAATAGTTAAAACCCTTACAGATAAGCAAAAAACAAATGTTGGAAAAAACAGAATTGCAAATAGTTAAAAAGGTCAACTATCTGGGAATATATTTAACAGCAAGATGTTCAATGATAAAAGAAGATCATTATATGAAACTATTGAATCAAATAAGACTGGATTTGGAAAAATGGAAAAACTTGCAATCGTCAATATTAGGAAAAATTACTACAGTGAAAATGAACATACTACCGAAAATCTTATTCTTATTTCAAACAATACGTATAAAACTTGAGAAAAAATTCTTTGAAGACTTAAATTTATTAATCTTAAAATTTATTTGGCAAGGAAAGAAAGCTAGAATTAAGATGAAAATGTTACAAGATACCAGGGAAAATAGAGGTCTTAGTTTACCAAAGTGGGTTTTATATTATCAAGCATCTGCATTAACATGGGTAAAAGAATGATAACTCTTAGAAATAAAAGGCTGTTATATCTGGAGGGGCATGATTTACAATTGGGGTGGCACACTTTTTTATGGTACGGGAAAAATAAAGTTCATAAATATTTCCAAAATCACTATATAAGAAATGTATTATTAACAACATGGGAAAAAATAAAATGTAAAATATATTTGAAAATTCCAGGGTGGTTGTCAACAATGGAAGCATTTGTACACCCAAATTTAGTGAACTTTGAAAAAATCTGGACATACAGAGATATTCTAAACTCTGAAGGGAATTTAAAATCTAAACAAGAAATGGAAAATCAGGGTATCAATTTATCATGATGGGCACATTTACAAATGCAAGCTAGATATGATAAAGATGTTAAACTGAATGGATTTTATAAGGAAAAATGTGTTTGATAAAACTGTTAACTTCTGGTGAGAAACTAATTAAGAAAATGTATAATTTTCTATTAACTTTGAAAATGGAAAGCAAACAAGTTAAAGAAACAATGATAAGATGGGCGAAAAATTTTGGATACAATAAAGAATTAGAAAAATGGGAAAATTTATGGGAAAGAAATTACAAACTGACAATTTATATAAAACGTTTTAGAGATGGCACTTGCCACCAGCAAGACTAATAAAAATGTTCAAAAACAATATTATAGTTCTAGATTATTGTGCACATTTGCCTGGTCATAAATCCCACGGAACTGAAAAATATTTACTTCTTGTAGACATGCATAAAACTAATCCTAAATTGTAAATAGACATTCCTTACCTACTGCTATGTATATTTTGTGCTATTTTGTTTTATAAGATTTTTCTGTGACCATTTGACAAAAACATGCTTGCCAGTTTTACATAATTTGTTCAGATTTTGCTGGTTAGGACATCAAGACAATTATAACCTATCTCACTACTGCTGGTAGCCATTCACTCCTTTCTAGTATTCCACTAAATATTACTCAAATGTTGTTTCACGCTTCCAGAGGGATATCTTTATTAGCCTTTTGCAATAGGTTTATTAGTCTTTGTTAGTAATCTACGAACTTTAAGTACTTTGTTTGTACTTTAAGACACTGTAAGACTCTTGATGTTTCTCCAGCTCTGTCCTTGGCTAGAATCTCGCTTTTATAAAGAGAGACTACTAACATTTCCCAGGTATCAATATTCTGACCAAAACAAGCAATATGCTTACACGCAGGGGTGTCCACGGGGAAGGGGGAAGTCAAGAAATCAAAATGGCAGCCAAGACTATGAGATTAAAGCCCTGCTCCTTTTTTGGATGCAGTACATGGGCATTACAACCATAAAAAGGGTTGAGGAGTTGGAAGCCACCGTCCTGATTTTTTTGATCCTCCCAAAGATGCTTGTGTGGAAAACAAAACACACACCAAAACTCTGTTTTAATGAGTCAGCAGAAGGAAATTAGTGGATTACGTCAGGTCTCTGGAAGAAACTGAGATATCTTCCTCACAGTTTTTTAATGTCCTTAAGTTGACAGAAAATAATGTGGGCTTAAATTGCACTGCCTCCAATGGTTAAATTGTATTCCACCTCAGTAGTGATGAGGGAAGAGAAGCTGTGAGTAAAAGAACACCTTCCTGCACAGACACCCAGCACTATTCAGCTCTGTCTGTTATAAATCAAAAAGATAAAACCTTTGGGTATAATCTCTCTGCTCCATTATTACGATCCTAGACTGTGTCTTGCTTTGTTTTAATCAGTGGGAAGATGAAAACCAGCTTAAATTTTGATTGGTTCAATCAACTTCTTGCCTTTCACAGGTATTTTCCTCTGCTACTTTGCCGAGCTGCAAATGTGTTCCTGCATAGGCAGCTTGACACTTGCAAAAAAAGTTCACAAAATATAAGTAAATGCTAATGATTTACAACCTCTGTCCCCAAACATCTCTTCCCAATGATTTGTCTGCTGTAATGACATTTATAATCAGAGCAAACTAATGGGAAGAGAAAAGTGTGTAGACTTCAATTAATCTTCAACAAGGAGAAGGAAGTAAGTGTATCCTTCTTGAAGATGGAATAATATTTTGTTTCCTAGTTCATTGAATTAACTCTCTAGAGATGCTAAAAGCTATAAAGCTGCAGAAAACCTGAGAGCCCAAAAAATTGAACTTCTGATAGACCACTCTCCACTTCTTCGAGTTAGAAGCATGCAGAAATATCTGGATTTTGGAAGGATCTTGCCAATATTTGCAAAGGGGTTGGTGGTGAACCCAAGGCCCCTTCTTTGTGGGATGTCTTGGGACTTTTTTGCCTTGATATTGAATCCTTTCCTGATTGCATGCTTGCAACTGCCCTTCAGACAGTCGTTCATGCACTGTTCCCTTCATAGTTCAACTATACAGCACATTCAACATTGAATAAACCTTAAAGATCGCTTCTTTAAGCTTCAATGGGTCTATAATGCATTAGTGCAAGCAATTATAGCTATGCTCCAGTATGCTCATTTGACTCCCCTATTCTATGAGCTGCACTGGTTGCCGGTTTGTTTCTGAGTGGTGTTCAAGAAGTTGGTTATCACCGATAAAGCCCTACATGACATAAGGCCTGGTTATTTAGGGGATTCATTGTCTTCCATCATATTTACCTGGCTAATGCAGGCTTATAGGGTGTGCATTCCAGGCTCCTTTGGTTAAACACTGTCATCTTTCAGAAGCCAGGAAGCACACCTTCTCTGTTGCAGCATCAGCTTTCTGGAATGAGATTCCCCCTGAGATCTGGATAGCTCCCACACTGATGGCTCTCCAGAAGGCCACAAAGACCTGACTATCTTCCCAGGCCTTCTGCTAGTGTGGTTGGTGTCCTCTTTGCTAGATGTTAGCCATTGGTGGGACATTGAAAAGTTTGCTTCATTCATTATCTTGCTCTTCTTTCTTTTTCTTTTCTTTTTTTGGTCCAAGTTCTGGTTTCATTGTCTGTTTTTCTGTTTATTGCTTTTATTTTGTTTGGAATATGGTGAATTGCCCAGAGTCATCAAATTAAATAACGCACATAAACAAGCATCTGCATAAAGCCACTTCCTCACTAGAAAAAAAATTGCTGCTTTTTCTGGACATGTAGCTCCTACTTAGAAAAGAATGTAGCAACTATGGCCAGAAAAACTTTTCCATAGATCCATCTGACATGCTGGTTGCTGGATCAACAAATGGTATTTTATGCCCTAGTCATCTCACATGTAGAGTATTGCTGTGAATTCTACATGTGGCTGCCTTTGAAGACAACTCAAAAGGCTCCGTTGATCCAGAACCCAGCAGGGTGAAGAGTAACAGGCATTCCACAATCTGTAACATAGCTGCTCTGCTGTCAAAACTTCCAAATGTAATTTAAGGTACTGGTTACCTCTGATAAAACCTTTAATGGCACAGGCTATCTGACGTATGAAGTGTGCATGTTCTGAATCCCACCAATGTAATGTGATCTAATGGGACCAAGGAGCAGGCCATCTCTATCATAGTATATGTCCTCTGAAATAGCATCCCAAAATATCTTTTTGGCTCCCACTGACAGTCTCTGAAAACCTGACTCTTCTCCTAGGCTTGGAATGGAGTGGAGTGGAATAGAATAGAATAGAATAGAATAGAATAGAATAGAATAGAATAGAATAGAATAGAATAGAATAGAATAGAATAGAATATCTTTATAGTCATTATGTAACTCACAACAAAATTAAGTGCAGTCCACAGTGCACACTACATACAAGTAAAAACCACAAATAAGAACATACATTATAATACATTCATCCTTCACATTCTATTCAACATTGCACTGCCCCTAATATTGCACTTCAATGTTGCACTATACAGTAATATTTAATATGCTTACAGCTCTGGGATAAAAACTATTTTTCTTTGTTTTTATTATCCTGTATTGTCTGCCAGATGGTAATAGTTCAAAAAAAAAAAAAAGAATGTCCTGGATGAGATGAGTCTTTAAGAATGTTTTTCACTTCCGGTGATGTAGCGCTGGCGATGGCGGCTACTTTGTAGCCGTCCTCCTGAGACAGCGTTAAAACCGCTGAGAACAGCAGGCATCAGCTGTTCCGTGGTTTAAAACCTCCTTCCCGGGTCAAGGGAGGGAGGGGAGTTTCACCCTGAATAGTGGTAGAGCCTCTGAAATCCCCAAAGGAGTTTTTCTTTGGGGTGAAAGGAGTGCTCCCACAGAGTTCAGGGTGTCTCCGCTTCTCAGGTGCCTTTGTCCCTTGTTGTTTGGGACAAAGCAAGACGCCGCTCCCTCCTCCGCGCTTAAAGAGAACTGGTGAGTTATTTAAAAAGCGGACAGAGCTGATTAGAGGATTTTATTTCTTGATTTTAAGTTTGGATTTTAAGTTTAAAGAGTTACTTTCATTTTTTCTTTTTTCCTTTGTTGAGAGGGAAAGTAAAATGGCGATTTGAAGTTTTTTTTTTTTTAAGGAGACGGAATGGATTTTGTCTATTAAATTATTTCTTTTCTTTTTCCATTTTTTTTTCTTATTACAATGATTTTTTTTTGAAGGAGGATTTGGGTTTTTGGAGTTAACCTCCCTCTCTTTTGTTTAATTCTTTTTTTTCCTTTTTTTCTTTTTTTTGTATTTTTTAAGAAGGAGGAAAGAAGAACCAAATTTTTTTCTTTTAAGATGGCTTCAAAGCGCCAAGTAATTTCCACAGTTCCTAACGTGGCTTCTTCTTCGGCGATATTATCAGCGCAACAACCTAAATCAACATCTTCTCCTCTTGCACAGTCATTACTCTGGCTCTTCCTTCTTTTTGTCACTATCCTCCCGGCGATCGAGGTATTCGGTGCGGTTAAGAGACCAACTTGCCCGTTGCAATAAATTCCCCTGTTTTGTTTGACTGGAGTTTTTGGTTTGCTTGGGGTTTTTGTTTTTTTTTCCCCCTCCCCTGGAATTCCCTCTTTGGAGTTGATTTTCTTGGGATTGCAAACTACCATCCTGGTTTCCGTCCAACATCCTTGCACTGTGGAAGGAAGGACCAATCCCTCTGGGTTGAACGAAGACGCACATGGTAAATTAATGCAGAGAATTCAGATCTGAACCCCAGATCCAACTGGATTTGATTTCCGCCAAGCCCGTAAAATTTGTAACCCATACCACTCTAACCAGCCATGACCTAGATGTACTGTGATAGGTTTTAATGAGCTTTAACTATCCAACCTCATCATTCCACTTCAGATTACAAAAAAGATTACCCAGAGTGCAAAACTACAAGAGATAGACTTCCGGTTCATTACACAGCTGCCATGGACGGTTAGGAGACTTGTTCCCTCCCCCGTTCAGTTTCGCATCGCTGGGGGGCCCTGAAAGGGGCCGAAAGTCACCCTGAAGAGGCAACCAGCAAGGAGGGGCTTTCACTGGATCCCGGGAGAGCAGCAACTCTTCCATCAGACCAGGCGATTCCTCCAAACCATGGAACGAAAGGACTGGCCATAGAAATATGGCTCGTCCCTAGGCTGCAAACAGCCGAAGTCACACTACCATCTGGCAACTTCAAAGCAGCATGGACAGGACTGGGAAGAAAGGAAGGAAGTGAAAGGAAGAAAAGAAAAGAAAATTATTAGCTCCAAATGTGAGGAATATGACATTATCTAAGAAAACTTCAAATCAGGACACCTAGCAATCTAAGGATTTCTGTTGGAGAAATCCCCTCCCTCTGGAAATATATATAGTTATATATCTATATATAAGAATACCATTATTCTAGTGCCTCACTGTTGTTGGAATTTGGAAGTTAGAAGACATGTCCATTGCACTCAAGCAAGTTTTTAATAAGGACAAGACATTCCGCCCCAAACGGAAATTTGAACCTGGGACCCAGAGGTTTGAGCTTCACAAACGAGCACAAGCCTCACTCAACTCTGGAGTGGACCTGAAGGCAGCTGTGCAGCTGCCCACTGGAGAAGATCTAAGCGATTGGGTTGCTGTTCACGTAGTTGACTTTTTCAACAGGATCAACCTGATTTATGGAACTATCTGTGAGTTCTGCACAGAGAGAACCTGCCCGGTGATGTCAGGTGGACCTAAGTATGAATACCGGTGGCAGGATGACCTAAAGTACAAGAAACCTACAGCGTTACCAGCGCCCCAGTATATGAATCTTTTGATGGACTGGATTGAGGTGCAGATCAACAACGAGGACATATTTCCAACTAGTGTAGGTGTACCATTCCCCAAAAACTTCCTCCAGATCTGCAAAAAGATCCTGTGCAGGCTATTTAGGGTGTTTGTCCACGTTTACATTCATCACTTTGACCGCATCATTATCATGGGGGCTGAGGCCCACGTCAATACCTGTTACAAGCACTTTTATTATTTTGTCACAGAGCTCAACCTCATAGATCGTAAAGAATTAGAACCTTTGAAAGAGATGACAACCCGGATGTGTCATTGAAGAACAGTGGAGAGGGAAAAAGAAAAGAAGAAGCAATATCCTGCTAACTGAAGAAGAGCTAGAAGATATATTAGTCCTGTGTAGGCCAGGGCTTGCCTTCTTATTCTTAAACAGCAGGAAAGTTAGAAACAGAAGATTATTGCTTTCACCTGGCACCAATAAGTACATTAACCTAAACACGCTGCTAGGTATTCCTCTGGAACATTGTGGATAACCTGTAAAAGAAGAAAGACAGAAAAAAGCTTCTTTTTTGTGTAGACCCTGAATGATTGAGGAATTCCAAATCAATTCCGACTGTCTGTTTTTATAACTTTACTACAGTTGTGCTTTTAACCCTCATTTTGATTACTGATCTTAAGTCACTAAACTGTGATTGCATTATTGCGCAGGCAGCCTCTATGAAAAGCCTTAGCGATAGTATATTCCTTTTCATTTCTTTAAATAGGGATAGGAAATAAGTCACTTGGCACTTAAAAATGTTGAATGTGTATTTGATCAAGGCCTGAAACATCTATTTTAGAATAGGCAGGAAAGAAGCTAATGACCCAACTGAATGGACAAAATGTTTTTCCATTTGTAACTGGTATGGCTGCTTCCCCAGATAGTGGCTTTTGAAATCCCTCCAACTGTCCATATGCATCTCATTGGTTTTCTTTACAGCTGTCTACACAGACTGCCGTAAGAGGTCATCAGTTGGCATCTTAGCAGCAAGAACAACACTGCTGAAGTCCTTAGGATCACTAATAAAAACGATCCCTTTGTCAGTGAGTTCTATCAAAACTGGCTGCTGATGTAAAGTACACATCTGTTTTTCAGGCACACATAATATAAAAAGTCATGTTCCATTTCTGCATTTGCATGAATATAGGGATTGATGACTGGGGCAAAAATCCATTGATGTGTAGGCCAAACAACATGTATCCTTATTTGGAAAAAGAAGTGATTTACATCTCTGCCCAAATATATTTGTGTGCACAGAAAGAAGGGGGAAGACTGCTCAGGGAGAAACTGGAAGAGAAAAACCTCCATGTGATGGGATAGGGCAGATAGTACAAGCAATAAAAAGTCCCATCTGTTGACCCAAAAAGCATCTACTTAGATTCATTTCCTAGACTTATTGAAACTAGAGTAACTGCAGGACTCTTCAGAGTGCTAAGTCCAATGTGCAAATACGGAGCAAGTATAAATTAAAGTAAAACCACTATATTCTGCTGATAATGTATTTCATATTGTGACCATATCTATGCAGCTTTTTAGGCTGTCTTTTATGTTTTTCGTCATTTCCTGGTAAATACACTGAACTACCATTGTGCTTCAATTAATATGTCTTTTACTCAATTGATTTTCTTTTTGACAATTATTATACTTATCCAGAAATTGATGAACTTGTGTGATTATGCTACTGGTTATAAATGGTGTAAATCCAGAGCTGGTGTGAAGAACATGTGCAGTTAAGATGATTTTTAAAACATTGGAACTGTAGAACACTTTCTTGGAGATTATTCATAATCAGTGCACTTGTAGTCTCTAGTCTTATGAATTGTACATACAGATAATTAGAATACATACACATACAAACACAGTAAGTGCTATTCATTGCTTCCTAGTCATTTCTAGGTTTTTTTCCTTAATTTGAAAAACAAACACATTGTTAAGCAAAAACGATTAGGGGTAAGTAGCAAATTGTCTAATGGGAAATTCCAATGAAATTAATATTGGTGACTTCAGTGAACTGCTAAAGAAGTATCCATAACTAAATCATTAATGAGCTTTTTCTGATGAAGTTTTAACACACAATTAAGATAAGAATACAAGGGGAACAATAGTGTGTATTTGTGTGGTTCATTTCTTCAAATTTAATGATACAATTTTAGAATTAGCTCTAGAATCTAGAGTTTATATGTCTTCTTTCAGGCCTTGACATTTTTGCTGACCCTATGCTACCTGTTCTTCCTGAGCTGTTCCAAAATCACTATTACAAACATAATGCAACATAAGATTTGAAAAATGTAGGTACATTATTTGAGTGTATAAGTCACACAGAATGATATAATTGAATGATAATGGTGATGATATGTAAGAATTTTTAAGAATTTATTTTTGATATTGTTATGTTCTTATTCCTACAAGAAGTTAGCATCAACTTTAACATAAGGTAATTTATATTAAATTACAAATTCTAGCATTTGGGACTGGTTTGTTATAGTTATATTTCTTAAATTAATTTAAGATACAAACTAAACTGCCTAAAAGTCAGGGAAATTTTATCTCGAGTGCCACTTGCTTGCTCAGCAGCAAAGAATAAATGAACTGCCTTAGATGCTAATTTAAATGGGTTCTTTTTTTGCTTGTTTGTTATGTAACTTTTTGTGTCTTCCTTTATATCCATTTTTTATTTCAAATTCTGAAATCACAGAAGAGATTGGATATTTCTTCTTCTCTCTGCTGTAATGTCACAGATCAGTTTCCCTGGGATGAGTCCAGAAGAGAAATGTATAGCAAGGGTGGTCCCACTCTATTATTCTATGTGGTTTTTTTTTCTAAAACAGGAAGACAAACATATCCAGTTTTTCTAATACTTGGGTTTGTTTGTTTGTTTTGCTATATTAAATACTTGTAAACTGAATACCACGGGGGTTTCTTCTCCTTATCTGAGACTTAACAATAATTTAATAATAATTTCAGCAGATTATTTTGAAGAGAACAACAAGAACTAAAATATATAGATCAGAACCACATTCTGTTTGATGGAGGAATAGGGTGATTACAGTTAAACGATGCAGTATCACCCATAACCAACAGATCTGTGTTAATCTGCCTTGCATGCAGTGACCCAACTCTAAATCCTTATTCAAAAAGAACAAAGAACACAGTTTGACTTTTGTAATTTAAAGAGACAGAGAATACATTTGTTTGAAACTGGAAATATATTTTCAAATAAAACAAAAATCACTTACCCCAATAGTTCAGAGCTTCGCCTGTCCTGCACAGAGTTGAGATAAAACTGATGAATCTCATCTGAGTGATCTAAACTAAGCTAAATTTAAGGGCTGTCATCCTCAGACAATGTTGCATTACAGTTGCCAAAAGGACCATACTTTGGGGAGATGCAGTCCAAACACTTGAGGGTACCAGATGTGGACACAGCTAATATGGAAGAAAACAATCCAACAGATGACATAATTTAGTGAAAACTAGTTAAGAGCTAACAATCATAGTCAGTGAAGAAGGGTGCAAACATGAGCAACAGGCTGGATTTATTATTTATATAAACCTAGTAAATCATACATGATATTTGAGAACAGCCTAACATTGATTGCACACATTTCCAGCAAAAGATCCTGTCCACATAAAGTATTAAAGAGGAAAGAAAGTGCTTCATCAAAATTAGCTGAAGTGTAAAACATGAAGTTATTTTGAAATATCAAATACAGATAAATATGTAGTATTTATAGTCCTAACTACCTTGTAAGTATAGCTCAACAAAACTAAAAATACAGTTTCTTTTCTGTAGTTCAAATATTTCTATTTTGAAAGAAACTCCATTTTATACTATAACAAGTTTTTTAAAATGCAGTTATGGTTTTTGTCTGATCCAGGATTTGGTTGCGGGGGGAGGGATTTCCCAACTACTTAGGAGAGAACCTGTAAATTTATTTCCAAGTGGTTAAGGTAAACTGTTGTTTTCAGTACTGCATAGTTAAGATTTTTTTTTTATTATTTTGGCTACAGAAATTGAATTCAGAATTATAGGCCTTAGAAGTGTCAAAGCCAATACATTTATAGAATAAGTTATATGTATGTGATTTAAATTAAAAAATCAGCTGTTTGATGAAAAAAAAAAAGCTTTAAAAGGACTTGCTTCTGTTGTTGGATTTTCGTGTTGAAGAAGTTGCAGATAAAGTGGAGGTGTTGGAGGAAAAATTTGAAGGCATGGAAAAAAAGATGGAAAATTCACAAGATGAGATTCTTATGTTTCAATATAGAGAGATGGAACTCGCTTTAAGAATCAGAGGCTTGAGAGAAAATTTGCAAGGAGATCTGAGAGAGATGGTTGCAAATGACTTTGCTGTGATTTTGGATAGAGAAAAAGAGGAAATATTCAGAGAAATTGAAAAAATATTTAGAGTCAACTCTTGGGTTGCAAAGCAAAGAAATTTGCCAAGGGATGTGGTAATTTACTTTGGGAAAAGATCCCTGCGCAATGAAATTATACAAGCTTTTTACAATAAGAGGTTTCAGATTGCTGCACAAGATGTTATAATTTTAAAGGAGATTCCATCTAAAATTTTAAGAAGAAGAAAGGAGTTTGCTTTTTTAGCAGATGAACTTAAAAAGAGGCAGATGCCGTTTAGATGGGATATTCCGATTGGAATAGTGGTGAGCTATGCGGGGATACGTCATAGACTTAATACTGTTTTTAAAGCAAAGGAGTCCTGGGAGCACGCTCATCACCACCTATAATGTTTAAAGTTCTGGAAGAGAAGAAGATAGAACAGCAGTCTGAAGAAGCTGTATTGATGAAAGTTGGAAAACTATAGACTGAGGGGTCTCAACAAGTCGAGATGAAGGAGCAGAGAATGACTCGGGCAGCATACAAACGCAAGGAAAAGGAACAACAGGAAAAGGAGGTTAAAGAAGTATTACAAGAATTTGTTTCTGAGTCTGTGGGAGAAGCAAGACCTAAGAGTTCTTTGATGCAATCTTCAATGGCAGATCTTCAAGCAGCTTTCTCAAGGTTATTGGATAAGAGAGATGGGTAAAGAATGTAAAGATTGTTCCAAGGTTATTGACAGATTATAGCCCATTGCGGATGGAACTGGTTATTGGAAAAGAGGAGAGAAGATTATGGAGACTGAATGAAAACTTTAGATAAGAAGTGTATGCTTAGAAACTTAAGGAGTATTTAAAGGAATATTTTGTTTTAAATATGTATAAGGGAATTTCAATGGTATAAGTAACGCTTATATGTGTGTTGATTGTGATGACAAAGAAAGATGGATAAACTTTATATAATACAAGTATGATATTAGAAAATATTGTTTAGCTTTCTGAATAATTTATACTTAAATTTATACTTAAAGTTTATAATATTTTAATGGTGGACTAGATTCCAATTAATTTACTTTATATGAAATATGATATTTTGTAATGTTATTAAGTTAGGGAGATGATTGGTTTATTAATTGTGAAAGAAACAGAAGTTGTGAATTATAGATAAAATAAAATAATGGTAAATTGGTAGGATTGTAATGACAAAGAAATTATTTTAATGTTAAATTTAATTATAGTGGTATGGTTGTTAATAGGATAGTATTGGAAGAAGGTTTTTTCTTTTTTTTCTTTTCTTTCTTCTTTTTCTCTTTCTGTTTTTCATACATAATGGAGTTAAAGTACTTAATAATTCGTTTATTGAATGTAATTATATTTGTTTGAGGTTTATTTCAGTTTAAAAGTTTTTCCTTTTAAGTTCTAGTTAACCCTGTATTCAGCTCTGGGAAGAGGGGGGAGGGTTTTGGGGAGGGTTGGGAGGGATTGGGGAAGGAGTTTTTTATTGTAAAATTGTAAAAATTTATAATAATAATAAAAAAAGAATGTTTTGAGCTTTCCTAAGACAGCAGGAATTGTACAGTAAGGAATATTGGTGAGCCTCTTATGGAGTTAGGATTGGCGGGGGGGGGGAGGTTATTGGTAAATTTGGCTGTTTATTCTCTGGGTCTACAATGTTCTTTAATTGTTTGACTGTTCCTTTGATATTTTATTCATTTGTTCAATTTCCATAGCTGCCCAATTCAACCAAATGACTCTGGGCAGCTTTACAGGGTTTGTTTGTTTTTTTATAACAAGTTTTTATTGGTTTTCCAGTTTTACATTTAAGTATTTAGAAAGCAGCGTGGTGATTGGGTAGTCAATAGTACAATAACAAAATCTTTAGTACATATCTCAGGTTACATCATCAAAAAATTCCTTCTCTATTTCCCTTAACATTTGCTATATCATATTTAAGCTAGTAAATTTTTAATTATAACAAGCTCAGTTAAAACATTTATCAGTATATTTTTGCTTATACATATCCATGTCCTGTGTTTAAATTTTACCTAATTTTTAATTACAATATTCCAATTTAACCTTTAATATCCATAGTATTTAAATTTCAGGTAACCAAATTTCCTTTATTTCACTATATAGAAATTATAATATCTAAGATACACCTATTACTTACTTGAATATATTCTTATTTTATTTCATAAACATTTTCTATTTCTCATCCTAGTACATCACTACTTACTAATGGAGTATCCTTCATTGTCTCAAACCATTGTTTGTGTTATCTGGGCTAAACAATAATTTGAAACTATTCCCTAATAATTAATTTTCATTTCCCTTATACATCTAAATTCTCAATATTAGGCCAATTAATCCATTATTTTTTATCATTTTCCAACGATAGTTAAATCTAATAATCGTATTTCCCTTCATCTCAAAATCTCCCTTTAGCCCATTAGTTGAGACTTTAGGATCCTCTCTAAGAAATCAAAAGACCCCATTTTTAAAATCTAACTCTTTCTTTTTATGCCAACCAGGCTTCCATACCAATCCCTTTAGATCAGTGGTTCTCAACCTTTCTAATGCCGCAACCCCATAATACAATTCCCCATGTTGTGGTGACCCCCCAACCACTTATACATCACCGGGTGCCAGGGGCGTGGCCAAAGAAAAGGGGGGAAAAATGGCGGATAGCCTTGTTTGGCGACCCCCATGAAATGGTCGTTCGACCCCAAATGGGGTCCCGACCCACAGGTTGAGAACCACTGCTTTAGATCATCAGATAAATCTCCCTTCATTCTTGTGCATGTTACTTAAATCAAAGGAGACCATCTAGTTATCAATTTTCCAGAGGAATTGGCCCATTTATGGTCGTTAAGTTGTCGCCCTGGTGGCCCAGATCCCCATATTTGCTCTAGTATATTTGTCTTCAATTCAATCTGGCCTTCTTCCTCAGGTTTCTTCTGGTGTAAGTAGAAAGTCATGTTCAATTTTATGGTTGTTGTTTGGTTGTCTAGGTTTTCAGTAGGCTGTACTTGTTGATCTTTAGCACCCTCCATCTTGGTATTACCTTCTTCCACTTCTGTTATTTTTTGGGTTGTAGATTCTTTAGTTGCAATCAGGGTTTGGTTGTCTAGATTTTCAGTACATTGTACTTGTTGTTCTTTAAAGTCCTCTGTCTTGATATTAATTTCTTCCATTTCTATTGTTTTTTGAATTGTAAGTTCTTTGGTTGCAATCGGGGTTTCACTTTGTAGGTTTAAGCTGGTGCCTTTGTCTTTCAGTCTAGCTTTAATTATCTCGGTAGCTTCAAGAATTTTTTCAAGTATGTTTGTAATTAGCCGAAATTTGTTGCTGGTCCTCCTCCATTTCTGATATGGTTATAGATGATCTTTTAGTGAAGGCTATTTATTAAGCAAGAGTCAGTGAGTACTCACCTCCACAGTCCTAAAAAGCAATTTCACCACCCAACTGTTCTCTCAGCTTTTAATCTCTTTTAGATAATACCAAGGACAGATCTGGGCTACGGAGCAGGTCTTTTTGTCAAGAATATTCACTTGTTGTACCAAGTTTCACCACAAGATGTCCTCAATAGCATTTAAAATCTTTTTCAAGTCCTAAGCTAGGTTTTTATCCAATTTAAGTTCTTTTTCATCTTTTTTACGAGTAGATAGAGGAGCAAATCCCTGTGAACGTAGGAACTTTTTAGGTCCCTGAATATCAAATAGATGCAAATCCAATTATTTAGTTATTCTTTTCAAGGCTTTATTTCCCGGAGGTAGACAGACGCCGCCATTTTAGAGGGTGGGAGGAAAATATTCCCTTCCCTCTCTCCTCACAGGGGGAAGCAATTAAGAAGCTTTCTACAGGAAGATACTTGGGGTACAAAGAAGGTAGGATCTCACCCAATTCCTCTGCAGTGCTTTCAAAGTGCTTGTTAGTAATTTTGGCCTCGGCTGGTAGCGGCTTAGTGATGGGCCATGTTACTGGCTGATCTTTTACCTGTCAGTTCAAACAGTTGCCTCGGATCAAACGGGAGGGCTGCCCTTCCATGATCGCCCGGGAATCCTCTTCACGCTCATCGCCCCTCCAGGGCGACTTCTGACCCTTTTCAGGGTCCCCCGGTGGAAGAAAAACAGACAGCAGGGGGAGCAATCGCCCCGAATATCCGCCAGCGCCGCGATCGCAAACCAGAAGCTGGAAACTTAACAATGTTAATACACTGCCCAGGCTCTTTATGGAGTTCTAAATTTAAGGAATAGATGTTACTGTTAATAAAATGGATTTTTTACAAATCCAAGAAAAACATGATAGAGAAGTTCAAACAAACATGGGCATAATCTAAGTTGCTTGGCATGGAATCTGGAGTTAACAAAACTCCATTGGCTCAGAAAATCTTGCTCATCTGTAAATTAAAATAAAGTCTTCAAGTCAAACTCATTTCATTGACAATTCTATATAGTTTTCCTGGTCACAGTATAGTAAATTTTCTCTCAAGATGTTTTGTCAATGATAACTGCCACTTACTGAGATTGTATATCTATACCAAATCAGTAATGAAAATGTAATAGCTATAGAAAGTCCCTCTGATGCTGTGTAAATAATATGATCTTCATCATCTTTAAGACATATCATTTTATTTCCTTATTTGCTTTCATTTCTGGCAAGTCTTAATAATATGTTTGATCTTCTTGTTATTTTAATTTTGTGTTACATCAGTGCTCAAACTCAGTCACCAGTATATTAGATGCATTTCGCTATATGAATATAGTTGTAGTTGCTTTCTCTTACTAGTTTTGCTTTAACCTTATTAGCTACCCAGAATCACTGAAGTTGCAAATTGGACAGCCATATTCATATAACTATATACAATGAGACCTCATTTTAATGGCTGAAGTGTTAATTAAGGAAAGTCAGAAAGTGAATCAGAAATTAGGACATCATATGATTTTATATCATTTATGTGAAATGATACAAGTTATATCATGTACATCAGTATATGTAATTAATGATGTTATAATGCAAATTATATAAATTGCAGGAGAAATTTGCTCGCTATATGCAAAATCTATTGAACCGAAGTTCAGTAAAAGATTTCATTATATCAGCGGTTCTCAACCTATGAGTCGCGACCCCATTTGGGGTCGATCGACCATTTCTCGGGGGTCGCCAAACAAGGCGATCCGCCATTTTTCCCCCTCAGGGGGCGCCGCCGCGCATGCACGCCGCGCATGGGGGTGGCGCCCCCATGCGCGCGGCGCCATGCATGCGCAGCACGTTTGTGTGACGGGGTCGCCGTCACACAAACGTTGAGAAGCACTGCATTATATGATCTATTCTAAACAGGCAAAAGATAGAAATTAGATTGTATAGCTCCTTTCTTGGGAAAAAACCCCCAATACATCAAAGACATTTGTTCAACTTGTTCAGAAAATTATTTTACTAAGGTGTATTCTGTCAGTCACAAAGAAACAAAATGTAAGAAACTTAAACTCTCCTGAAAAATTTCTCCTGAGTTTCTAACAAGGAGGTGCTTTATCATAGTACAATTTGATATCAGACAACAAACAAATGAAAAAGACCTGAAAACAAGGCAAGATTGCAATAGCACTTGTGGCACAGTGCAAAGCCCCAGGGGGGAGGGGGGAGGGGGGGAGAGGAGGTACAGAGGCAAGCAGGTGATTGTAATTGCAGACAAACCTGAATTTGAGTTTGAACATGCCTGCAGGGGCATGCAAAAGTCATAAGTTTGTGGACTGGTCTTATGTCCATTTTTTCAGCACTGTTATAACTTTGAACGGTTGCTGAATGAATGGATGGTAAACAAGGACTTCCTGTATACCAGGGGTCTTCAACCTTGGCAACTTTAAGACTTGTGGACTTCAACTCCCAGAATTCCTCAGTCTTAAAGTTGCCAAGGTTGAGGACCCCTGCGGTATACCAATAAATGCCCTCTGCTTCGCTACACCTCCAATATTTTTATGGGCCTTTCCCAGTAATTTTGGTTACTTGTATAGAAATTTAATACTATCTATGAGTCACTTTTAAGTAATTTTCACTAGTCTTTGCTGATATTGATCACTTTACCTTGAAACACACCCACACACAGGCTGCTGGTGTGTGTAAAAAGGGCTCCAAGTAGGTCAGAGAGGAATCGGCAGTTAAGAAATTCCAAAGAACCTCTTTTCATTAGAGGAGATTACTGGCACTTCTGAAGGCCAGAGAAGCTACCACTGTGGATTTTTTGCTTTTCAAACAGCTATTGCAGCCTTTCTTCAGAAAAAGAGGTAAGCTAAGTTTATACATTTACAAACATGAGTCAGATTTCATTACAATTAAGTGCAGCCATTTTGTTTTCTGCATATGGCAAGCAGATACAGGTAGTAGCTACTTCAGCCCAAAATTTTTGTTTCTAAATGAGACATTTGTTAAGTGAATTTTGCCCCTTTTTACAACCTTTCATGCCACAGCTGTTAAGTGAACTATGCATTTAAGTTAGTAACACAGCTGTTAAGTGAATTTGGATTCCCTATTGACTTTGCTTGTCAGAAGATTGTAAAAGATGATCACATGACCCTGGGACACTGCAACTGTCATAAATATGAGTCAGTTGCCAAGCATCTGAATTTTGACCATGTGACTTTGGGGAATGATGCAGTGGTCATAAGTGTGAAAAATGGTCATAAGTTACTTTTTTCCCATGCCACTGTAACTTCAAATGGTCACTAAATGAACTGGTGTAAGTCGACGACTACCTGTAGTAAGATCAGGGGCAACTTCAACTATTACATTTTTGCTTTTTGTGCATATTTTTTTTTGGACTGAAAAATATTGCCAAGAAAAATACTTGTCATCCCTAAACATTCTTTTATGGTCTACTGTGTGAAACCTAGAGATCTTTTCACAAAAATAATAAAATGATATGGAATGGAATGGAATGAAGAGAGGAGGGGAGGGGAGGAGAGAAAAGGAGAGGAGGAAAAAAATACTAATTAGGAGCATATAATTTATATAATATTTGATTTGGCTAAATGAAAGTGTAAAAAGTGTTTAAAATTTGTCAAACAAGACAAGTCAGTATATTTTTCAGATATTCTCTATATATATGTATTGCCCAGGGCAAATAAACAACCTGAATTTTATTTCTCAAGGGGTTCTAGATCTACAGATGTAGAAAAATGAATTGGGAAGGCCAAGTGTTGCCAAAAATGAAATGTTCTGAAGGCTGCACTAAAATCATAACATTGATTGTGTATTGATATACACAACCGTTCATTGCTCTCCAAGCAAAGTATAAATTAGCCGTCTGATATGACAGTTAAAAACAGGTGTAAGATAGAAAGCTTTTCAACATGCAGCTTTCAGCTGCAAGGGATAAGACTGGACAGTCCTTGGGGGGGGGGGAGGGAAGTGACTCATAACATTTACAGAACTACATACACAAATCAGAGTCAAACTATGACACCATGCCTATTTCTGTTAGAAAAATGGAAGGAAAAGTGATCATGTAAAAATTGCCCTTTAATTTTTCTCTTTGTCTCACAGAGATTAGAGTTTGAATAAAGTAATGTGTCATTTCAAAGAACAGGGTGGGGAATAATTACAGAGGACCTTGCAATGGGATTTATTTATATCTACACAATCCAAGAGTATTGGTAACAATACACCATGACAGTGTTTCTGAATCTTGCTGACTTTAAGAACTGTAGACTTCAGTTCCCAGAATTCCCCAGCCAGTACAGCTGGCTGGGGAATTCTGGGAGCTGAAGTCTACAGATCTTAAAGTCACCAGGGTTGAGAAACACTGAGCTAGGGAGATGGGCAGGAGAGATGGACTGTCCTTTCTTGTTTTACAAGTTGAGTTGAGATAATCAAGGAAACGTGTTGGCCCAGAGGGCACTAAAGTGGGCATACATTATAGCCCTTAGTACTTGAGGTGCAAAGTCATGGCTTTACATCTAACAGTATTTTTATTTCATTTCATTTTTTACATTTTAAAAAATTGTATGTTTTCCTGGATATATTTTTGAAATAGTTGTGGAGCAGAGATCCTTAAAGGTTTAATTGCATGCACTAAACACCCCTTTCAATTTTTTTTGGACCAAAGGAATGACAATCTTTTCATTTTAAGAACGCTCACAGTGAGCATGGTTGAACCAGCTGCTGATTGGGCAGGTGACTTCCCATTCTTTCTCAATCATCTTCATTCTTCCTTCTTTTTTTTTCACTTTTGAGATCCCTTTGTTAACTAGCAGGGGTGTCAGGGAATGCCCATATTGCTCCTAGATAAGTCAGAACAGATTAACTGTAGAAAACCTGTCCATTCTACATGAAGTTAGGTTGACATTTTCTACAAATTAATGTAGAAAAAAATGACTTTGTCTCAACTGTAACCTAAGGGTTTGCTAGCATAGTTGTTCAATGGAAAAACCCATTCCTTCTGATTCTTCCCTGTTTCTTTCAGGTATGTGGCAATCGTTTACTCTTTCAAGCAAAACTTTCTTCAGCAAACACAAAAGGGATCATCGGAATAATCTGGCTGGTGGCTTGTGCACTAGCTTTTCCACAGTTCTTTTATGCAAAAGTCATCACTGATCATGGACTAACCAAATGTGCTGTGAGCTGGCCACACAATCACAGCCAAAGACAGCAGTTCACGTAAGTCCCCCACAAAGACTGAAGTGAGAAATGTACAGTATTTTGACAAATCTAATCCAAGCAAAGAGGAGGAACGAGAATGCCAAATGATTGATATGTCTGTTTTCAGAACGGTCAGGTAAAAAGTCTATTGCGTTTTTAAAGGTCTACTATATCATGTTTGTACTTACAGAGAAGGGTGATAGATCATGAGTGAAAAAAATACTCAGATTTTCCTCAAGACACAAGAAATTGTTTTTATCTTCATTGGATCAAGAATTCCCCCCCCCCCCCTCCAAAAGTGAAGCACTTGGAATTTAGTCAAAGTCTCAAATTTTATCTAACCATACTTTAGAACAGAAGTATCCAACTCTGTCAACTTTAAGACTTTGTGGACTTCAATTCTCTGGCTGGGGAATTCTAGGAGCTGAAGTCCACAGATCTTAAAGTTGCCAAGGTTGAACACCCCTGCTTTAGAAGTTCTGAATCCCATTTTAAGGCAAGGAGGAAAAAGAAATTTTGCGGACGATTATGCCTGATATTTTTTAGAAGTCACAAAAATATAGCCACTCTCCAAGAAAATAATAATGTTTGGTAACATTGGGGAAAATGGTAGAGGGAGAAGAAAAATTGAGGTATAGCAGAAAAAAACACTGGAATCTCCTTGAAAAAGTGATGAATTATAAGTCAAGACAAGCATAGAGATTTTTGGAGGGAGAGGAATGGATTTATAAAGCCACCCAACTCAAATAATGTGATTAGGTTGTCCACAGCAAAAAGAAAAACTGCCCTTCCTCCAAACAAGCCAACATTACACAACATTTTTTAAGAAATTACTCAATATATAAAATATAAAATGATGACCAAACATAATAATTATCAGGAGTTGAACCCTAGCTAACTATGAAACTCCTATCCAAGTTCTCATCAGATTTAACCAGCTTTGAAGCTCTGAGAAGTTCAAATAGATTTTGCCATTTGCTACTGAGAACTTTTCACATTCGTCATCTTTAATAATGCTGGTGCTCACAGCAACTAAGAAAATCCTTCCTCTGTGCACATGTGAGATACATAATGCGGCTGGGCAGAAGAATTGCTCCCAGTGTCTATCCTTTCCTCCATGTCATTTCAAGATAGGAGCAGGGGGTCTTTAGAGCAGGGGTCTTCAAACTTGGCCCTTTTATAACTTGTGGACTTTAACTCCCAGAATTTGGGTAGGAGCAAATGTTGGATTCTGAATGGTTTAAATATCGTAATTCAGGCTCCGAGTGTTTTTATAACAGAAGTCTTCAAACTTGGCCCTTTTATGACCTGTGGACTTCAACTCCTAGAATTCCTCAGCCAGCGTGCCTGGCTGAGAAATTCTGGGAGTTAAAGTCCACAAGTCATAAAAGGGCTAAGTTTGAAGACCCCTGCTTTAGAGTTTTTGCATGGCTCTCCATGCACAGGATCAAAAAATCAAGGCAACAGTTGTGACCCACAGTTTTGTCAATTTCAAAATACATATACACACTGTATCCCAACTGAGTCCCAAATAATTCACTAGCTAATAATGATAGTGTACCAGCTGCAGTGTTATAAAGATGGCTGAAATGGGAATGTAAAGTGCATAAACTATGTTAAGAAAGACACCACCTAGTATTACAGAAGTAAATTAACTGCTGCATGCAATTCCTGGCGTATAAGTTATGAAAACGAGCCTTGTCTGAGTATTTATTTTATCAATTTAAAAATGCAGAAGCATCAAAAGGCTGGTTGATACATTACAACTTTTCTTCTACATCTTGGTGACTCTGGAGCAAAGAGAGAAAAACTAAGGCAGATTACAGGAAGAGATAAGAATGCATGGGGAAAAAAACAAATCAGGAGACTGAAAGTGCTTCCTGGTGCTACAAGAAACAAAAGCGCTCTACTATGCAGTCTTAAATATTTTCCATTCCCTCTCCTTTCAGAAGGAAGAAAAACATTTACTACAACCAAGTCTTGTTCACGAGTTCTCATCACTTCCTTTGCTCTTTGTTTCCTTACATCCCACATGATGCCTTCGTAATTTCAGACAGTTTTTTATTGCCATTAATGAGCTATTCCAATTCTAAAGGAAGGCAATCATACATTCTCTGATGTTGTAATGAGAGCATCACTTTCAGTGCCAGATCTTGCTCTGAGTTTCTCACACAAGGAAGAATGAAGATGGGGTCCAAAGGCCATTTTCACTTGCTTCCTTTTCTGAAGAGCTCTTGACTAAAAATTGTTCCATATATTATTGATAGGAAAGCTTGATTAGTTTCCGTTTGGAACAGAGGCATCCACAGGGACAGTCAAAAAAAGTCACAATAATAAGTCTTCTGCCTAATTTAAAGCACTGCCCGTTTTCAATGTTTATCATTATGTGATGCAGGTTAAAAAGGGGGTGGTTCCATACTTAATGGATATTTAAATGGACACATTTTAATGGACACACGTAAAAGCCAGGCAGAGCTTTGATTGCACCATCATAATTTTCATTATGTAGATGTAGACTGCCCTCAGTATCACAGAGAATTTTCTTACTGAAGGAAGAGAAATATTTGTCCCTGATCACTCACACTCAGCCTTTCTCCTTTTTCTTGTTTAGGTATCACATAGCAGTCATTCTCTTGGTTTATGTGCTGCCTCTCACTGTGATGTTTGTCACATACAGTGCAATAGGAATAATTCTCTGGCATAATGATGTTCCTGGAGATCATACTAACATGGTGTACTATCAACATAAGATTATGGCCAAGAAAAAGGTTAGTAATTTGTTCACCAAAAAAAAACACCTTCAAGTGGAATTGTAATATAAATCCATTACAAGTCTCGTACCACTGCACAATTGCGCATTTATTCCCAGAGGATTATAAATTAATTATGTCTTCAGTAATAATCTTTGTAAAGCAACTCTGTAAAGTTCATGATAAGAATTGTGGGTGTTATCTCTTGTCAGCTTGACAATCCCAAACTTGCACTTTGAGCCCTTAAAAAGAAAACAAATGAATCCTGCATAGCTAACATGCCACAGCATGTTCATTAGCAATATCTTACAGGACTAAGTGCAACTTCAGAGTTTTTATAAATAGCTTATAATTGCATTATTAAGTAATATTAATTCTGGTATTCATTGCATCAAGACCCATAGACAAAATGCCAAGATATCATATAAAATATACCAGCTGCAGTAACTCCCATCATTTTGGCAACACGTAGCAGCTTCATAAACTGTTCCAAAAAGGAAGATCTCTGGAAGATAATTTCTTGTTATTATAAGGGACCAGCCAATCAGTGTTGTGCTTGTTATCTTGAACTTCAGACAGGAAGAACCAGCTTTGCCTAGAGCTCAGTCTGTGGAAAAAGGTTATACAGCAAAGCCAGGCACAGTGAGTAAGCTTTCACAAAAGGCTCCCTGCTTTTATGTGCCTACAGTACACAAGACTGTTAATCTGGAACTTAATTGAGGCACAGGCCAGAGATCAAAACAGTGTCAGAATGTTTATTTGAGACCAGGGAATCCATCTGTTGTTTTGGGTCCTCTGTTACAATCTTACTGATCTGGTAACTCCAAGGCAACAATAATCAGCATGAACTTCAGGATTTTGAAGGTCCCCATGTGTGACATTCTGAATGGGCCCCTCTTGCCTGACAAAGATGAGACCTTCTACATAAACTCTTACACATAATAAGCACCAGTCTGGTCAAAGCAGCTGTAAAATAATACATTTTCTTGAATGTGCTATGCAAAGGAGAAATGTTCAGCTTTGCTGAGTGACAGCATTGAAGATCAGCAATTGTCTTCTCTGTCAAGTTGGTCTTCTTTCTACAACCAGTTTATGATTTTTAGAATCTTTTTTTTATTGAAAAGTTTTATACAAGTTTTTAACAATACCCCCCCCCCTAAAATAACCCCCTCCCTCCCTCCCCCCTCACTTCCCAGAGCTGGTTACAGGGTTACAAATAAACAAACAAATTCTAAATAAACTTATCCAACTATATAAATAACTAAATCAATAATGTGCTTTAACTCGAATACAAAACAAATTTAAGCAACAATATAAGCAATTCCAAATTAAAAACTAAAAATTATTCATAATCTAAATAATACTTTTTAATCCCACATCAATAACCCATATTTACTCTACATGTAATTTATCCATCTTCTCCGCGCTGAGGTGAGTATTTCTTTTAAACAACCATTCATCCATAATAAACACAAAATTTTCCTTCCAATATAACCCAACCAACAAACTTACATTCGATAAACTTGGCTATTTGCTTTTTCTTTTTTTCCCCCACCCCTAAGTAAATCTATTAATACCCTCCTACTTAAGAAGTTTCAACAAACCATTCATCTTAATCACTAAAATTCTCACCAACAGAGATCATTAGAATTTAAATTCTTTTACACATTTACCCATAATATCTCATAATTGTTTTTATACACTTTAAATTAAAAATTTATAATATATATACTCCCAAATATTTAAACTTTTCTACTAAATCAACACCTTCTATTATTCTTTTTCTTTACATCTACATACTACACAAATCATTCACTATTCCTTTAAAACATACTAAATCAAACTACCAGCTAAACTAACATTTATTATTCTTTTTCTTTACATCTACATATTACACAAATTATTCACTATTCCTTTAAAACATCTTCTATCTTAAAAAAACTACTACAAAAGTTCATCATTTCCTTTTCTTTATTCCAACATCTGCCTTCTGCTGTTCTTTTACTTTATGTCTATAGGCTGCACGAGTCATTCTCAGTTTCTTTAAAAAATCTTCTGTCACAAGAGACTGCTGCAGAGGTTCAGCCTGTATGTCTCCTACATCCAATAACATCGCACCTTCAACCGGCTGCCCTTCCAACTTCTATAATCTCAGGTCGTAAAGATGATGGAGAGCCCACCTTCAAAACAGAAGTGTAAAAATCTTTCGCCTTTAAAATTGTATTAAGTGTATGATATATCCCCACATAATTCACCACTATTCCAGCCAGTATCTCCCATCTGAACTGGACCTGTCGTTTTTTGAGCTCATCAGCCAAAAAAGCAAAATCCTTTCTTTTTCTAAGAATTTTTGAAGGTATTTCTTTTAAAATTATAACATCTTGAGTTGCAATTTAAAATCTCTGCTTATAAAAAGCCTGTAAAATTTCATTACGAAGTGATCTCCTAGAAAAATAAATAACTACGTCTCATGCCAAATTCCTCTGCCTCGCAACCCTTGAATTAACCCTAAAAACTTTTTCCGTCTCTCTCAGTATTCCTTCAGGCTCAGCCCCCAAAATGAAAGCTATATCTTTTACCACCACTTGTCTCAAATCTTCTTGCGTGTTTTCCTTCATTCCCCTTATTCTTAAAGCAAATTCCATGTCTCTATATTGTAACATAGTAATTTCATCCTGTGTTATTTCCACCTTATTTTCTACTTTATTAATTCGATCTTCCAGTTTTTCAAAATTTTCCACATCATCAATACGATTGTCAGAATCCAATTATACCATCTCCAGTTATTAATTATAGAAAACCCCATTTCTGCCCTCTCTGGATTCTGCCATAAAGAAAGAGAGGGGGTGAACAAAGGGGCTTTATGGCCCTCGCTTCCTTTGGTACAACTTCAAAGGGTTTGAATGTGGTTAGCACCAAAAGGCCTTATCATAACAAAGGAGGCTATTTACCTTTCATGTAGTGTTGGAGTTATTGGATTATCTGGCCTGCTAGGTTGAGTCATCAGCTGCAGTAGGCCAAGGTATAAGGAAGTCAGAAGTAAAAAAGGTTGGGAGAATACCAAGAAGTGCCGTGCGGTGCAAAGGAAGGTGTTTGGTGCTTTGTTGGTGCCGGGTGTAACAGCTGTATAGGAGCGTGAGCAAAACAAAGCTGTAGCACGTGTAATATGCTAATATGCTGTGTTATAACAAATGTGGTTGGTGTAAGGTGGTCACCAGGTGCATATAAACCCGCCTTCTGGTAACACAATAAAAGGGATGCTTCGGCTTTGTTCGGGGCTCCCATCCCGAGGAAACCACGTGTTCGTGTCTGTTCTTTTACACTCATGGGAGACCCGCTGGGCACGTGAAAACCCACAACTGGTGACCCCGACGTGATTCATGTTTCTGAGCGCGTCTCTTGGTACCCTCTTACTCACTCGGCGGAAGAGCCTACTGCAACTCAGGGCCGGTCGTCAGGACTAGGCGAAGCACCCTCCCAAAACATTACCGTGAGTATGGGGACAGGATTCTCTAAGCCTCAGGTTGTGCACCTCTCAGAACTTAGGGAATTGACCAAGTCATCAATAATTGTTTTTAAAAACGATGGGAAAAATTTGCCCCTTCCCACTAAAGGGGATTTGATCCTCCTCTTAAAATATGTATATCAAAATTGCCTTGTATATCCCGAAGGAGGATCCCTAAAAGTGTCGGTGTGGGTTAAATTGGGAAAGTATTTTCATGAATCTCCTCGAGCCCCTCCCAAAATTTTGTCTACATGGCGAATTGTAATTGAATGTCTCCAAATCCATGAAGATGCCATGAAAACAGAGAAGGGGAGGGTAGACCCCCCGCCTGCCTATAACTCTGAAAAGCCTATAGACCCCCCGCCTGCTTATGACTCTGAAAAGCCCGATGATTTAAAAAAGGGACAGAGTGCAGAAGAAAAATCCTCCTTGGCAGTTTATCAAGCCGATGTGCCTTTTGAACCGTTCGCGCCAATGAAGGAGGGAGAAAAAGAACAAAGGAGCACCAATGTGCTGCCTTCCCCTGCCAGCGCCATCTCCAGGGCACTGGCCGAAGCTCATGAAAAAGGGGAACTGCAACCTGAAGAATATCAATTTTGCGCGCCTGTTTTTATTGATCCAATCACAGGCAATCGCAGATATGAAACAATTCCCATGAAAACTATTAGAGAAATAAAACAAGCAGCATCAAGTTATGGGATTTCTAGCCATTATACCTTGGGTCTGATAGGTCACATGGCTTCTACTTTTTATTTGTTGCCTGAAGATTGGAAAGGGCTATTCCATATGATTTTAACATCTTCACAATATGTGGTTTGGGAATCGGAATGGAAAAAAAGAATGTCAAAAGATCGTTTTAGCTTGGCAGGGCCATAATCAACCAACAGTAGACCAGTTAACAGGGAATGGAAATTTTAGTTACCTGGGCGCTCAACAAGCCATGAATCCTTTGTTTTATTCTCATGCAGCCCTCGCAGCAAAAGCTGCCCTAACTTGGGTTGATGATCCGCAGAGGGGAACAAAAGGCTCTTTTGTAAAGATTTTTCAAGGGGCTAATCAGCCCTATGGGGAATTTGTGGATCAGTTACAAAAGGCCATATCTAGGGAAATCACAAATGAAATAGCCCAAGAGGAATTGTTGAAAAAACTTGCCTTTGAAAATGCCAATGAGGACTGTAGACGGGTCCTGCAGCCCTTAATGAGCAAACCTGATGCAGGATTGGCAGACTATATTCAAGCCTGTAGAATTGTGGGGACCAATGCATTTAACATGGAAACTTTGGCTATGGCCTTACAAAAAGCAGGAAGTAATAATGGGCAACCTGCGGGTAAAGCTGGTAACTGTTTTAATTGCGGGAAGCCTGGCCATTTTAAAAATCAGTGCCGGGCCCCGGGGGGGCGCTAATAAAAGCAGGGGAGTAGGAGCCAGACCAAAAACCGTTTGCCCGCGCTGTAAAAGGGGTTTCACTGGGCAAACCAGTGTCGCACCAACCCTATGCCCGCTGATTCCCAGAAACCGGGAAACTAGAGCTGGGGCATTCAGCTAGCCCCGCCTCAAAGGCTGAATCTTATCATTTTGTCCTGGTGGCCTCTGAGACAATAACCACAGGCTTATCCGGGCTGTCATATTTTTTGCCAATCCGGCCGTCTGTCCCTTTTCCCCGATTGTGACACCCCTCTGTTAGTGTTTCCTCACCGTGACTTTATTATGCAGGGAGTAACGGCTATGCCATTTTTGAAAGACCCACCTGATTTTACATCAGTCGCTTTGGCATTTACCCCTAACATTCCCATGACTGTGCTCGAGGGAACAGTAGTGGCAACTGCCGTCCCTGTGCCCCAACAACCACAAGTTTTGGCAATTGAGCAAGAAATTCAAAAGTTCCGCCCCTCTATGGCCTTTCAAGTCAATGGACGCTCCTTTTTTGGTATTCTAGATACCGGAGCTGACGTATCGGTCATAAGAGAGGAGGAGTGGCCCTCTGAGTGGCAGACTGACAGCGCACCGTCGGTTCGGGGAGTGGGAGGAGTCCAGCACGCACGTGTGAGCAAACACTGGCTTTCTGTGACCTCGGAAGAAACATCAGTCACTGCCCACATTAAACCTGTCATTCTTCCGCTTCATATTAATCTGTGGGGTCGGGACTTGATGAGTCAGTTCAATGCAAAATTAATTTTGGATTAAGATGTCTCAGTTAATAAAGTTAAACCTCTTGACTGACACCCCAGTTTGGGTGGATCAGTGGCCTTTAACCAAAGAAAAATTAACCGCTCTGGTGCAATTGGTAGATCAACAATTAGAGTTAAAATGCATTGAACCCTCATTGAGTCCTTATAATACTCTGGTGTTTGTCATAAAGAAAAAATCTGGAAAATGGAGAATTTTGAACGATCTAAGAGTTATCAATAAGATCATTCGCCCCATGGGGGCGCTCCAATGCGGTTTACCTAATCCTAATTTGATACCAAAAGACTATGACCTTATGGTTATAGATCTAAAAGATGCATTTTTCTCTATTCCACTACACCCAGAGGACAAACACTTATTTGCCTTTACTGTGCCTGAAATGAATAACTCCAAGCCCACGGCCAGATATCAATGGACTGTCTTGCCTCAAGGGATGCTAAACAGTCCTACAATGTGTCAATATGTTGTCAATCAGGTTTTAAGACCATATCGGGACAAGTTTCCTCATTTTAAAATTTACCATTATATGGATGATATTTTAGTGGTAGCTCCAGGGCCCTCAGGTACGGTCTCAGCAACCTTGCCTGTTCTAACCTCCATTTTTCAAACAAATGGGTTTTTTATTTCACCTGAAAAAATTCAGCTTAAACACCCCTTTCTGTACTTGGGCCACAAGCTTTTGGCCTCACACGCCGAGCCTCAGCTGTCTAAGTTGTGTCTTCCGCCATGCCCAACCTTAGTCCAACTTCAACAATATTTAGGATCAATTAATTGGGCCCGTCCCTATATGGGACTAACCACCTCTCAATTGGCTCCATTGTTCTCTGCTCTTACGAAGGGAAAAAATCCAGGAGATAAGATCGTGTTAACTCAACAACAACTTAAAACTTGTGACATCATTCAGCATGCATTGTCAAAAGTATGGGTCGATTGTGTTCAGCCTGATATGCCTTTTTCTATGTTAATTTTTAACACCGTTGACCTTCCTACGGCAGCTTTGGCTCAGATCGTGTCTAATATAAAAATGATGATTGTAGAATGGATCCACTTATCTCACACCCCGAAGAACACCATTTCACAGAAACATACGCTCTTTGCTCAGCTTATAACAAAATCTCGCTTTAGGGCAAAGGCTTTAGGGGGTGTTGAACCGTCCTTTTTATATATCCCTTGTTCGTTAACGGCTTGGGAAAGTTTGTTGGCCAACTATGAATCTTTGCAGCAAGCACTTGCTGATTGGCCAGGAGAAGTGTCTTGTCATCCACCATCAGATCCTCGCATTTTTTTATTAAAAACAGTCCCATTTAAATGGCAATCTCCTTGTGCTTCTTTTCCTTTAAAAGAAGCAATAACGGTGTTTGCTGACGGCAGCAAGACTCATGGAGCCTGTGCTTGGAAAGAGGAGGGGAAGTGGCGTACAAAAATCACCCCCCCCCCACAGACGTCAGCTCAGCGCTCTGAGCTAGTGGCGGCCACCATGGCATTTTTTCATTTTAAAGATCAACCCTTTAATCTGATCCTGGACAGTTTATATGTTACCCAAATTGTCAAAGCCATTTTTGACTCTTCTTTGGCACCGAATGTCTCTATGGATTTGTTAACATTATTTTTGGACTTGCAACATCTCGTAAACGATCGGAAGCACCCATTTTTTGTTGCCCATATTCGTAGCCATCAGCCCTTTCCAGGCCCACTCCAAGAAGGCAATGATGTTGCCGATGCTGCCGCCTCACAAACACCTCTTAATATGCCACTCACCTTTTTAACCCCCTGGGAAAGTCATTCCTATTTCCATCAGAATAAGAAAGCATTAATCAAACAATTTAATCTTTCAGCTGCTGAAGCTGCTGCCATCGTTCAGCAATGTCCAACCTGTAGCAAGTAAGCACACTCAATACCACTTGGAGTAAATCCTCGTGGCTTGGAGAGTTGTCAGATTTGGCAAATGGATGTTACTCAATATCCTCCCTTTGCCCCGTGGAAACATCTTCATGTTTCTATTGATACATATTCTGGCTTCATTATGGCTTCCCCCCAGAGGGGTGAGGCCACTAAACATGTTATCAATCACTGTATTCAGTCATTTGCATTGTTGGGACACCCCAAAGAACTTAAGACAGACAACGGACCTGCTTATATTAGCTCTGCTTTTGCAGAATTCTGTACAAAATGGTCCATTGTTCATAAGTTTGGCATTCCATATAATAGCCAAGGTCAAGCCTTGGTTGAGCTAGCAAATCAAACATTAAAAACAGCTCTCAATCGATATTTAAATGAAAAGGGGAAAATCGCCCCTGGCCTCCCAGCAGTGCAAAACATCCTTAACTTGTGCCTTTATACACTGACCTTTTTAAATCTGACGGGCGATCCACCATCAACAGCTGCCTCTCGTCATTTTTCAACAGTCCCTCCCCCTACTTCAAGACCTCCAGTTTACTATCGACGGCTTCCAGACCCCACGTGGAAAGGTCCTGCAGAGCTTATTACCTGGGGGAGAGGCTACGCTGCGGTAGATGATCATGGCAAAATCATTTGGACTCCAGCTCGCTGTGTTCGCCCTTATTTGGTTCAATCTCCACCATCCTAACCAGACATCAGAAGACCATGGACCCTGGGCCCACAACTCTTTTATGAAAGATGTGCAGAATATTTCTCGTCTTTTGAACAAGACTGAGTGTTGGATGTGCATGCATATTCCAACCCTGGAGGAGGGGGGACTTTTTATGCATGCGGTGCCTTTTAATACAACTGGTTGGAAACAATTTCCCTGGTCTAGAGGGACCCTTTCCAATGCTATGGTGAATTATACGGTATACACAATAGGAAGCAGAATCCAGGAAAAGGCAGCGTTTTGTTGGGAATATAAGAACACCGCTAAAACTCTGTTTTGGTAGGCAGATACCCATATTGTGACATCACATTTCAACTTTCAAACAACATGACTAGACCACATCCCTTTAAGAAAATTCCTCTTTTTGAATCCCTTGATGATTTTTCTGAATATATGTGTACCTATCAAATAACCGGATGCTCGCTATCAACAGGACGTCACCCCGGCAACACAGACACGATGTCCACACTCTTCCTTTGCAGTATTGTAAGAGCCATGGTTCGCCAAACTGTGCAAAGCTCCAGCATGACTACAAATATATTAAGTAACGTCTGGATGCTTTGTGGCCGGCGGGCATATCAACGTATACCTCCACGGTGGTCCGGCCGTTGTACGTTGGGCTTTCTTGCTCCCTCAGTTTTTGTGTCAGATCAGCCACCTTCAGCCGTTTGCACAATCGAAGAGATCTAGAAAATGGCCTGGGAGGACCCGGCAGTACAGGAACACAAGTTGCACGATCTATATTTCCATCTCTGGGGGTAGCCATGAATTACAGAGACATCTATGCATTAAATAACTGGACTAGGCACATGTTCAACGCTACCATTCAGACTACCAAATTGTTAAACAAGGAAGTGGCAGAAATACGAGAGATTGTTCTGCAAAATCGTTATGCTTTAGACATTATCCTTGCCTCGAAAGGAGGAGTATGTGCCTTAATCCATTCTCATTGTTGTGTTTATATCTCTGATTATAAAGCCAATGTCACAGGTACCATTGAGCATATGGAAGACATGGTTCGTCATAATCCGTTACAATCCAACGGATCTGGTGCAATAAACATTTGGGATGCCCTATGGTCTTGGCTACCCGACGGAACCTGGCTGCGATCATTGGTTTCTGGTATTATAACTATTGTGGTTATTTTAGTTTTGATATGTTGTTGTATTCAATGTTTGCCCTCTTTGTTTATGATGTTTAAAAATTTTTCCCTCAGGAACTGTCACCCATCAACAGATCAATTTAGTAACTACACCTATCACTGCAGTTCAGCTACCCTTGCTAACCAAACCGGCCTTCACCTTGCCAAGCGACACTGAGGATGACTTCGTATAAAGCGCTCCCTCCTTATTTTTAAATAAAACAGAAAAGGAGGAGATGTTGGAGTTATTGGATTATTTGGCCTGCTAGGTTGAGTCATCAGCTGCAGTAGGCCAAGGTATAAGGAAGTCGGAAGTAAAAAAGGTTGGGAGAATACCAAGAAGTGCCGTGCGGTGCAAAGGAAGGTGTTTGGTGCTTTGTTGGTGCCGGGTGTAACAGCTGTATAGGGGCATGAGCAAAACAAAGCTGTAGCACGTGTAATATGCTAATATGCTGTGTTATAACAAATGTGGTTGGTGTAAGGTGGTCACCAGGTGCATATAAACCCGCCTTCTGGTAACACAATAAAAGGGATGCTTTGGCTTTGTTCGGGGCTCCCATCCCGAGGAAACCACGTGTTCGTGTCTGTTCTTCTACACTCATGGGAGACCCGCTGGGCGCGTGAAAACCTACAATGTAGTTTATCTGAAGTCTCCATCCAGACGGAAGAAAGGAAAAAAGGGGTGGGATTGTGATGCCTGAAACTGTCACTGGAAGAGGAGGGTGATTGGGTGGGACTACTGGGGAACCCCTTAAAACCTCGAATGGGAGAGCTTGAACCCCAAGTCCTGTCTAGAACGCCTGCAAACATTTTCTCTTAATAAAGGATCCCTGTTGGAAGAATTATTCCAAGAGTTCTGTCTTCTTAAGATGCAAAGTGGGGTGGGTCCTTACATTAGACAGGACTTGCAAAATTAATCCACCTGGAAGGGAGACCCTTGACGGGGGATTTTGCAAAAATTTACCATGTCAGACAATGGAGCAAGAGAGGGGGAAAACTCCCTGGAAAGAGAGCCGCTGACCAAATTGGAACATTGTCAGATGTTGGGATCCAAGAGGTCGGATTCCTCAGGAGAAGAAGTGGTGGAGACACGGGACCACAAGCCTCGCTGGTCAATGGGCGTTGGAAAGAAAAGTGAGTGGGGAAAGGAATCAAGAAAGGTGACCCTGAGACGGGGGACCAAGCAACCAGAATGGAAGCAGGAAATGGAGAAATCCCTGCACGCAAGTGAAGAGGGAGAATGCTGGGCACCATACTCAGACTGGATCCTAGAGAAAGCTATTGACCTGATGAAGAGAACTCTCAGCTCCCTAAGAGAGGAGAATCCTGAGCCCTACGGCCGCCCCAGCTCCTGGAGCCGCAAAGGGAGAGACACCGAGGGGGACGTGGAACCTGCAACCCCAGGGACATCTACTGATCCAGGAGCCCCCACCCCCTACTGGACCACAGATGGCAATCTGGACGGAAGACACTACCACCCACAACGGAGGCACCGATCCATTCCAATACGTCCACCGTTGGAGGTGAAATTCAAAGGGGAGCCAACACGCTTGGGGTTTTTCCTAACCCAAGTCCTCAGCTACATGGAGGAATACGGGCAGGACATTCCCAGCGACAAAGCCCGCATCCAGATCGTGCAATCTGCCCTGGATGGACCGGCTGCAGATTGGGTGGTGAACTTGCATGACTCCAATGCCCCAGAACTCAGTAACTTCAACCGTTTCATGTCCTCTTTGAGGAGACGGTTTGAAGACCCCCTGGCTGATCGCAAAGCCCGTGAAAGGATAAAAACGATGAGGCAAGGCAAAGGCCCGGTGGCTGAATATACACAAGAATTCCAGGCCATTGCCAGTAAACTGAATTGGCCAGAAGACATCCTCCTTAGCCATTTCAAAGACGGACTAAATTATGATCTATATGATGCTTGCCTGCCCCGAGGGGACCCACATCGACTTGAGGAATGGTACATCTTGGCAGAGGAAGCAGATATCGACATATTGAAGAGACACCACCGAGGAAAACAATGGAGCCGCCCCCCGCCTGAGCTAACACACAAACCGGTGAAATCATCGGCTACAGCCAAGAAGCAAATGGGGTGTTTCAAGTGCGGAAGAGAAAGGCATTGAGCTGTAGAATGCTGCTCCAAAGCCCCCCAGCCCAACCCAGACAGATCCCCAATCAACAAATCCGGAAAGTCTTCAGCTAAGCCAAAAGAAACGGCCATGAGAATGATGGAAATTGCAGAACCCCCCACTTCTGCTCACCAAGGGGAAAGAACTCCAGCCTACACCACAGGGGCGGTGGATGCCTCAGATGACAGCTCGGAGGGCGAACCCCTGGTAAGTGGACACATCACACCCATCCTCAAGACAGTGACTATATTAATACCCCCCATGCCCGAAGCCGTGAAGGTGAAAGCCTTAATAGACTCTGGCTGCACCCGCTGCCTCATTAGCCCAACACTAGTGGGTAATTTGGGCATCCCATCGAGGAGACTGGAACAACCAATCTCATTTGGCTAGTTAGATGGATCCATAGCAGGGGGGGTGCCAGCTACCCTAGCCACTCTACCAATACACCTCTCCCTGGGCAAACATGTTTGTGGTGACCCCAGGCATGGAATGCCCAATGATTCTAGGGATGGAATGGTTGAAAAAATGGAACCCCTGGGTAAATTGGAGGATGACAGAAATCAAATTCCCGAAGGGGGACCCTATGGACTTAAAACCCCAAGGGAGGCTATCAGAATCAAAAATAGAAAAAGCATCCATAGGAGAGGAAAAAAGATTAACAGAAATACCAGAGGAATATAGGGACCTTGCTGAAGTCTTCAGTGAGGAGAGGGCGAATGAGCTTCCCCCCCCACCGACCCACAGACTGGACCATTGAATTCAAGCCTGGGGCAAAACTCCCGAAGCCCAGATTATACTCCATGAGCCCAAAGGAGAAGGAGGAAATGGAAAGATTTATTAAAAAAACCTAGAGAGAGGTTTCATTGAGCCAGCCAAGCCTAAAGTGGCTGCCCCGGTCCTCTTTAGAGAGAGGAAGGATGGCTCTTTACGCTTATGCGTGGATTATAGGGCCCTGAATACAATCAGTGAAAGCAACCTATACCCTCTGCCCCTCATGAAAGACATGCTGTCACACTTATCGAAAGGGAAAAAATTTTCTAAACTAGACCTAAGGGAAGCTTACTATCATGTGAGAATTAAGGAAGGGGACAAATGGAAGACTGCATTTAACTGCCCCATGGGGTGCTATCAATTCAAAGTCTTGCCATTTGGATTACAAGGGGGCCCTGCAGTCTTTATGCAATTACTCAATGACGTTCTAAGGGAGCACCTGTTTAAGGGGGTCCTTGTTTACTTGGACGACATTCTTATCTTCACCGAAACAAAAGAGGAACATGTCAACCTTGTCAGAGCGGTTTTAAAGAAGCTGCGAGCCGCCCACCTATATGCCAAACTCTCAAAATGCGAATTCTACCAGGAAAGGATAGACTACCTAGGTTATCGCATATCCCCCCAGGGCATTGAAATGGACCCAGAGAAGGTCAGAGCATTATTAGATTGGGCACCACCCCACACAAGAAAGCAACTACAAAGTTTCCTGGGCTTTGCAAACTTTTACTGCCAATTCATCCCCTCATTTGCCCAGATAGCCTTGCCCCTCACTAACTTACTAAAAACGAAGGGAGCATCCTCAGTAAAACCTAGCCAGCCACTAACATGGACAATGGAGTTCCAAGCAGCGTTTGAGAGACTAAAGAGACTTTTTTCTGCCGAACCAGTACTAAGGCACCCAGACATGGACAAGCCCTTTGTAATACAGGCAGATGCAAGTGATGTGGCAGTGGGGGCTGTTCTATTACAAGAAAACAATGAAGGGGTATTGCAACCCTGTGCATATACATCCAAGAAACTCATGGAAACAGAACAGCGCTGGCCCGTATGGGAGAAAGAGGCATACGGGATATGTTGGGCATTACTCACATGGCGACAGTTCCTGGAAGGCAACAAAATCCCCTTCCAGGTGTGGACTGATCACAAAAATTTGGAAGCCCTGAAAACGTCCAGGAAACTCAATCCCAAACAAGCCCGCTGGTCTCAGCATTTTCACCAGTTCCAATTTAAACTCAAACATTTACCAGGAAGAAAGAACTTCCTGGCAGATGCACTATCTCGCATGCCCCAATATAACAGCGCAAGAACCACTGACTCTAGACCAATAATGGCAGAGTCTCAACTGGCAGCACCAGTAACCACAAGAACCCAAGCCAAATTAAAACCACAACTGGACAGCCAAACTGGAATTGAATTCAGAAAAAGTTTGGAAACAGATGAATGGTTCCAGAAAAACAAAAATGTGTGCACAATGAGAGACGGGTTGCCTTGGGTAGGGGAAAAGTTATTTATACCAACAACTCAAAGAGTCACTTTCATGCAGCTTTGCCATGACACAAAATCAGCAGGGCATTTTGGATTTGTAAAAACTTTACATTTAATTAAACGACAATTTTGGTGGCCATCCATGAAAAGGGACATAGAAAGTTATGTAGCCAGTTGTCCAAAATGTGCCACGGCAAAGAGGTTGCAAAGGAAATTGCCAGGACTATTGCAAACAGTGGCAAGTCCCTCAGCCCCCTGAAGGGAAATAGCCATGGATTTTATAGTGGAATTGCCAGAAAGCAATGGGAATACTGTGGTCTGGACGGTCACGGACTTGTTTTCCAAACAGGTGCACTTTATCCCTTGCTAAAAGATTCCCACTGCAAAAGCCTTAGCAAAACTTTTCATCCAGCACATTTACAGATTGCATGGGGCACCCCAACGCATCATCTCTGACGGGGGTGCAATTTACGTCTGCATTTTGGAAGGAATTTTTATCCCTCTTAGGAACCACTCAGGGACTGACATCTAGCCACCACCCACAAGGAAATGGGGGGGGGCTGAAAAAATGAACTCCGTACTTAAGCAATATTTAAGATGTTTTCTTAGTTTCCAGCAGACCAAGTGGGCGGACTTACTCCCTTTTGTAGAAGTTGCCTACAATAATGCAGTCCACTCCAGCACAGGTTACACTCATTTTCAAATAGCCACCAGTCAAAGTTTCAACCCCATGCCAGAGTTAACCCCAAACGAACCAACGATCCCTTCACTGAAAGAATGGATGGAAAAACTACAAAACACCTGGCCAAATAGTTAGAAAAGCACTAGATGAAGCTAGGCAGACATACAAAGCACAAGCTGATAAAAAAAGGGTTGAGGCTACACCATTCATTATAGGAGAAATGGTGTACTTATCTACAAAATACCTAAAGTCCCTACAGCCCTGTAAAAAACTTGGACCAAAATATATAGGACCTTTTCCAATTAAAAGAATCATAAATCCAGTA